GGAGCTCTATGCATTCTCTGCTGTAGGATGCTGAAGAACAAACCTGGCCCCCAACCCTGCAATCTACCCTTGTTAGTTAACAAATGGGCTGGAGCCATGTACTGGAAATCCCAGACCTGAGGGTTCTGTGTGTTGCATTCCAAAGGACTCTTTTTTTTTTTTTTTTTTTTTTTATGACCTGCACTGCTATCTCAGTACACAAGTAGGGGAAAGAAAAGACAGTGTACATCAAAGTGCATTGCTCTTGGGAGAGAGTCTGTAGGATGTATTGCTTGTGGAGGGCGCAAAGTGCTTCCTACAATCATCAACAAAGGATGCTACTTCCCCAAAAGTCACAGTACTGTTACCCCTGCAAGGAAAATCCTTTCCTACCTCACTGTGTTCATGGGATGGCTGGAGCAGGGCCATGCTGATAGATGTGCCCAAGTAGTTGATTTAATTAATAACCTTTTCAATGACATCAGCCCTAGAGCTGAGCTGATTGCTTTCTTAGGTGCAAGAGTGTGGCTGTGCTCCTTCTCTGGCTCATGGCTCCAGGCAGGAGGGATCTTCAACCGAATCCACACTGATGTCATTGGTTTTGCTGGGCTTTTTTGGGGGGAAATTTAACCAGCAGATTCAAACCCTGCTGCTTATAGACATTGGAGCCATTAGGAAAAGGTGGCAGCCCTTGAGACCAAGTTTACAAACCTCAACACATTTACCTGTGGGCATGGAGTTCATTGGGTTAACCAGCTTTGGGGATCCATTGCCATACAAGAGCTGGAGATGGATGAGAAGCCAGCTTAGATGTGGTAGGATCTGGTTGGTTTATAGAACCATTAAGGTTGGAAAAGACCACTAAGATCACCCAGTTCAACCTTCAACCCATCCATACTTGCCCTCATGAGGACCATCATTTCCAATAGCAGTGAGACACCGCTAGCAACTTTAGCTTAGTAAATTTCACAATGGTGATTTGATATGGAAGCTTCAGTCCAACAGGAACAATTCCTAAGATTCCATTTACTACCCGTTCATGCTGTCAGCTGATAGATTTTGGGCTCACAACATCCAATAAAAAGCTCTAGCACCTTCCAATTCCATTTCCCAATCATGGACACTATCTCTGAGTGTTCACTGCATCACTTTGAGGAATGTGATGAGACAGAATAGCTACAGGACACAAAGAATACTTGGAGAAGTCTGGCTCCACTTTAAGATGGCTCCCAGCTTTAAAATAAGGATGGACCTAAGACTGTAGTATGTAATAAACATCAAGCCTAAAGCAGCCCACCATGAACAGGGTACTTAGAGATACAATTCAGCATGGAGAAAGCCATTCTCTCCTCTCAGATGTTTATAAACACTCTTTCTTCATGTCTTATCAAGGGGAGACTTTGTTGCATTTTCTCCTGAGTCACCTGAATTCCCAGGGCAAACTCTGACCTCAGCCATATGAGGTTGGTTTCATGCTCACACCAACAGGCTAACGGAATGTCCAAGTGACACCATAACCCCACGGAGAAGGACTTGTTCAGGTTCCCAGCAAGCTGCACCAGAGATGGGAATGTGGCAAAACCCCACCAGAATGGTACCCTTTACATGGGCACCACTGGGACACTGGTCAAACTGGAGTTTTTGTGCCTTCTCCCAGACATACCACTTTCTCTAAGATGATAAAAGCAGCATCCAGCTCCAACCAGGCAAGCTCCTGTGGGATACAGGACATTTCCCATAGCAATAACTACAATCAGTAATATTCAAAGTACTCAGGCCATTGGCCATTTTCCCCCAAAGACAACATCCCCACATTAATGACTTCTCCATACAAAGTATCCATTAAATTCAGAAAACTCAGAGCGACAAAATGTCTTTATTCAAATACAAAGGACAGTTGCATAGAAGTGTACTGGTACATTTTAATTAAAAGGTGCTTTTGCAGTAAAAGCCAGAGCAAGAGTTTGCCATGTCAACCAAAGCAGGCAGCTTGCAACATTTCCCTGGGCTAGCAAGCAGGGTCCTCTGCCCAGGCAGGATGCATCCTCAACACTGGGCCAGGCACCTATTCAGCTTCACTCATTGATAAACAGCAGTGTGATAAAGCTCAAGACACCCATGCTACAGAAGTGCACTATGAGCACAAAGACTACGCAAGCAAAAAAGGTATAATATGTCAAACAGTAGCACTGAGGTTCAGAACAGTCCTTTGGCACCTCCAGGCACTCAAGACCAGTTTAGCCTGATGACAGAGTGTTTGTATTTCATCTGAGGTTTGACTTCAAGAAGAACAGACAAGTTTGTTAGTACTCATCAGCCTCATCTTCTTCTCCATCTGCTGAGTCCCTTCCAACCTCCTCATAATCCTTCTCCAGGGCAGCCAGGTCCTCCCTGGCCTCTGAGAACTCCCCCTCCTCCATGCCTTCACCCACATACCAGTGCACAAAGGCTCGCTTGGCATACATCAGGTCAAACTTGTGGTCCAGGCGTGCCCAGGCCTCGGCGATGGCCGTGGTGTTGCTTAGCATGCACACAGCCCGCTGCACCTTGGCCAGGTCCCCCCCAGGCACCACGGTTGGGGGCTGATAGTTGATGCCCACCTTGAAGCCCGTGGGGCACCAGTCCACAAACTGGATGGAGCGGCGGGTTTTGATGGCCGCAATGGCCGCGTTCACATCCTTGGGCACCACGTCACCCCGGTACAGCAGGCAGCACGCCATGTACTTGCCACGCCGCGGGTCACATTTCACCATCTGGTTAGAGAACTCAAAGCAAGCATTGGTGATCTCCGGCACCGACAGCTGCTCGTGGTAGGCTTTCTCTGCCGAGATGATGGGTGCATAGGTGGTGAGGGGGAAGTGTATCCGTGGGTAGGGCACCAGGTTGGTCTGGAATTCAATCAGATCAACATTCAAGGCACCATTAAATCTCAAGGAGGCGGTAACAGAGGAGACGATCTGCCCAATGAGCCTGTTGAGGTTGGTGTAGGTGGGCCGCTCGATGTCCAGGTTGCGGTTGCAGATGTCATAGATGGCCTCGTTGTCCACCATG